CATATTCAACAAACTATCCTAAATAAAGGAGTTCCAATTTAACTATTATTATATTCTAATGTTGATGTATCTGAGAGTGAACTAAAAAGATTGATAAGATGAAAGAGTTATTACTTAATTTTATTACTATAATATAATCGTCTTCATTAACATTAATAATTTGTAAAGTAATACACCATGATCAATATTGTATGAATGATGTTATCATCATGCTTTGTGATTATTTGAGAGTGAGATTTCGTTCTTAGAGTTGATTCCTTCGATCATGAAGTTGTCATTGTCTTTCTAGAAAGATACTTGTCTTGACTTATAAGTTATTTATCATTTGTATATACTCAGTTTAAATTATTTAATTGAAAAGTGTTTATTGTTTGATAGTAAGCGGTGTCATACATTTATCTAGATTTCATAGTATAGACTGAATTCTTTTAATCAATTCGCAAATGTGGACACTAGTGTCTAAGTGACTCAACATTTTCTGCATTCCTTTTTGACGTTGGATGGTTGGAGACAATAATCAGGATCCTCTATATAACTTAATTTACTACTCAGTAATAGATAAACCACTGTTTCATAGTTTAAACTGAATAAAGTTCTACAATCTCCATAAATTCTTGTATATTAATGATAATCACACTCAGTTCCTGAAGTTCTGGTGAGAAGCTATAACCTATGGAGTTCAACTACGCCGGACGTGAGATAATCACCCATTTCAGACAACAGATGACTGAAGTTAGATATGTACATAATTAGATCTATAGGTTCAGAGTTTTCATGTATGATTGGAGGTTGTGGGTTTTATGCCCGGACGAGGGCTGGTAGATGGGCACTGTTGAGCAGTCCCGTAGTAGGACGAAACGGCCGTTTGGTGCTTCCAGATTTTCAGTGGTGGTCTATCTAAGATAAGTTTGTTATTCAACCTATTCAAAAGCATACTGTCAATGCCATGTAAAATCATCGCGAAATTTATTTCTGTTAACAAGTGGTAACTTGAATATTTTCTTTCATTTCGACCATGATAAACAATGAAAATTATATTTAAAATATTCGTTAGCATGACATATCGACAGAACTACTTTACTTCTTGTTCTGATTTAGGAAGCGTTAAATAATTTCCAAGGTATACTGGGTAACGAAAGAGCTTAACACAGATACTGCTGTAGTGAACGAGAGCACAAATAGGGACAATTAAGTGTATTTTGAAAAACTACAGAACCTCTTGGTAAAATCCAGGAATCATACAGTAAATACTTCATTTGCAAAATGTCAATCAGTTGTCTCATAATTGACTGTTCTCTCGCTTTCATATCAATCTCTCTCCGTTCCCGTTCTTTTTTCTTTGATTTTCTCAATCTGCCACCGGGCATTCCACCTTCGATTGGTGATACATACTACTTATATCTGTCGACATCAGTAACACACAACACACTACGTGTTTATGGCTAGTAATATGTTACTGAATAGATTATTTTTATGATTTTTTCCAACTTCCAACTTCAACAGTAACCCTCACAAACATAAGAAAGGAATATCACTATATCTCATATGACTTTAAGTTGATTCATATTCATTGCATTTTCCGATTCATAGATGAGTGTTTTTCGAAATACTTAATGATAGTTTCTTCATTAAAATTGGGCATTCGCACACGTTACTTATCCTGATTTGATATGCTGAGATAAATATTGTTTTATAACGATTCGTACATCATGACCTTGACGTTGCTTTCTCGACCCTCTGTAGTATGAAAGTGAACCTTCCGAAAACTAATGAATTATTTAGTTATAACTACTATCAATAATAAAAGGAAAGAATCAACAGTCAATCATCGCCATTCTTATTGTGTATTTAATTTATAATCAAAGCAGTGAAGAAAAATAGACATGCTCATTAAAAAAGCAGATCAGTACGGACCATCTAAGTTACAACATAATGCTAAGGCGATCAGAATATTACTTAACAATTTGTTAATAATGTTAAACTATCATTAATAATGTTAACCACGATTGCATTTTTACTAGTTCCGTCTTTCCTACGATCTTGGCTCCTTTCTGATTGGTTTGCAATTGAAAGTCATGCGTTTGTCACTAAATATATATATATACTGATTTGTACCATTTCAAGTTATTCTGGTTGAACATCAAGTTTCCCTAACACTTCGTCTTCTCCCTGCATTGAAGGAGAATTGTCCAGGTGTTCTATGCCAGTTGCCCTTATCGAGTAAGCAACAAGACTGGCTCAATCGTTCCTTCACAAGCAAACATTCGGGACTGACAACCAAAGGACGGAAAGGTCTTAATTGCATGATACTCGATACACTGATACAAATATCTTGCTGTTATACTCTTGACTATTTCATTCATTTCGGCTAAAATGCTAGTCTTTCTCCATGTTATCCATGCTCATAACTTAACTCGTGTAGTTAATCATTTTAATTGTACGAAAATAAATAACTCATGTATTATATTGGTAAAGTATTGTCAGTTGGTTAGTAAGTTATGATCAACACAGAGCTTGGGATAAGTATCTGTTAGCTCAAGTTGTCTTACCGCATATTAGCCAAATGAGATAAAACTGGGATGATGTATGGTGGGAACGATCGATAATAATGTTATAGTAATGACAACGATAAAGACTAAACATTGAGAATATGGTTCGCAAAAGCAGAATGACAAGATTTATGTAGAGGAATGAAAAATGAAGTTCAAGATATAGTATAAGATAAATAGTGAATGTATCTACGCTAACGTGAACGATTATCAGCCATATCATTCAACGTCTCCAACCACTGGTCTTGGTAATTGCATGGACCCTAATCACATGGTCTGCATCTACAAACATGGGTCAGATCCACAGTCAGTGATTTCATGAACTGATGACGAGTTTTTGGTTAGATAACCCCTAGCTTCCTTCCAACTTATTTCTACACCGGTTAATACAGCATATCGGCGTAGGTGATGGTCAGGGAAGCGTAACACATGTCCCAACCAGCTTAGAAAAAGAAAATTCACAGCCTAATTGACCGATAAGCACCACATTATACCATAAAGGGACTGAAGTTGAACTGTAGACCGACTGGATCAGAATGCAATAGCTTAATGATATTTTGCTAACAGCGGGATCCAAATCTTTGGATTCGAGATCCCAATGTGAAGTCATTAATGAATATCGCGGAAATAATGACGTGAATTTTGTGTTAGCTGTTTAGTCTTCCGTACATTACAGTGGTTTCCCAATTTATGCTACTCTATGACAAATAACTAAATCATTTACAGAATACATCTTTAGACTAGTATCTAAGTATTTCCACTTTATTTGTAAGATTTTTTCTTATATTATTTCAGTTTCTACAAATGAAGATACGATGTCCTAGAAGTTAACCGTCTTCTTTGTTTTAGTTTGATCCTGTTAATCTAAATCTTCATAGAATCAAGGATTTTTGTAGTTCTCTGAATTCCGATTCAGGTATTAGGATTGAATAAGATACATGATTAGTGTGCCATAAAATTAAGCTAAAATTAAGCTAACAACAACTTCACTAGTCCTTATACTGAATGTGGTGAAATTTATTGGAATCTAGATGGGTTGAAGTTTCTAACTTCCTACTCTATTGTTACTAATATGTAATAATTTACAATGACATGTAGAAAGTTTCAGATGAATCGAAAAATAAGTCAAGCCCTGGTACGGTCGAGAGTTGGGATAGTCCGCTCTCCTTCTCGAAATGCTTTCACATGGCCACGCGTATATAGCCTCTGCCACGGAAGTCCTACTCAATACCTTCTCGTGGCGGGGATGTTGTTTACAGAATTGAGAGGACGAAAATCGAATGTCCGGCGCTTTAACCGGATTCCAAACCAATGGTGCACATGGGCTCCAGTACTTTGAGGGAACAAATAGCGTATGAACCAGTTGTTGGTCACCGGCTTCCATGGGACTGCATCTCCCTACGATGCTCACTACCTTGTGGATCAGACCTCCAGGTCGAAGGCTCGGGGTGTGGCTCCCTAAGAAAACCACTTATTTCGGTTCGGACACCCGGGCAGTATCACAGCCCTCACATATATCGAATGAGATTTGTGTGGCGCATATATATTTGATGCCTCCTTGTACCAATATCTATGTGTTAAAATACATAATAAATAAATAAATACAAACCAATAAATATTTCTTTTAGAAATGTTATTATTATTTTTTTTTACCCTCAATGGTTCCTATCTTAATTTCATTCACTGTTATTGCAGGGGAATTCCATGTTGTATCCCCAACCGAAAAAAAAAATACATCCCAACATACACGTTAAAAGCATTTTCTTATACACTTTATGAACTATAAGACAATTAATTAATATCCTTGACTAGTCATTTTACTTGCCCAATCATGAAACTTTCCGAAGGTCAAATAACATCAGACCAGATATCTGCTCAGCCCATTAAAACTATTCGGGGGTGGATATGATTGGATTGGTTAAGCGGGTGAAAAAATGATTGGTTAAATTCAACAACAACAACAACAAAAAATTGTGGGAGCCTGGATATATCCAATGTAAGTTTGTGGCACGTGTGCTAAATGTGTTTGTTTGTATCTATCTATATATATACATACATACATATATATACTGTGGTAAGTGAAATTGTTTACGAAATTAAAGAATGAACACACAGTTATAAATGGAACTATATTTAAACTCTAAGCAAAGGTAGTTTAGTAGACACACTTATTATCGACATGTTTATATATATATGTATAATGAGACCATTGAATTAGCAGCACTAAATGTGTATACATGTCATGCTTTTGAGTTGATGTCTGGATTGGTTGTCAAAATTACAAAAAAAAACCATTCTAATTTACTTAGCCTTGGCAAAATTTAGGTCATTCATTTGGTCTTATATATATATGTGTGTATGGTTAGTTGTACAGTTGTCAACAATTTAAACTTAAGCACACGTTATGCAATATTCATTTGGATTCATGGAAAGAACAAACAAACAATAAACATTATTATTATTATTATTATTATTACTAATCCAGGTTTATAATATAATATTAGAACATATGGTACTAAACCACAGTTTAATTGTGGTGTGTTGTTGTGTGTCATGAGTCATCATTATTCAATGCAATCACAATTTCTATCGTCATCGTCATCAACATCATCAACATTATTATTAACAGACAGATCAAATATTACTCATTCTAATACTGATCTAATTATGGGAAATACTGTTCCGTCCTCTTTTCTTGAAATGAATTTAACCCAAACAACAAATGGTTTATTAAATAATAATAATAATAATAATAACGATGTGGATTTGAATCGTCAAACTCGTGTAAATTTAACAGATGATAATTCACAATGTAAATCACCATTATGGATACCACCTGTTACACCATATACATTACTTGGTTTATTAAAACCTCATTTAACACAATCTAGTTTACTTGTTAATAACAATACAACACATCAAATACAACAGCAAACAAGTAATGGAACAATTATAAATACAAAATTATGTGAAGATTCAATAGGACATCAACCATTTCAACAACAACAACAACAACAACAGTCTAGTTTAAAACAATCACAACAGAAAATCTCATCAATGTCTGCTTATCTTTCGGAACTTTTGAATCAATCTCAAACATCGATAACAACAACAACAACGACTAGTGGGAAGAATTCAGTACATGGTGAGTTCGAATAGTTTTATTGTTATAGTATTTATTTATATTTATGTTTACATGAAGTGAAAATCACGTCAAGTTCAAACATTTTGCCATTTACTTAGTAGGTGATTGTTATATATTAAAGTTTTCACCAAAGGTTTCATATAAAGTTATCTACCTACAAATATCTTTTATGAACACACTACTGTAGAGCGCATACCAACATTCCAAATGAGAATAAAAAAAGTAAATAGAGTGAAAGTTATAGCTTGTTATGATGATGTTTTGAGTGAAATTTATGCTCTTATATACAGCATTTACTCAAATAAGTAGACGAATAAAAAAATGCCTGAAAATGCTCGATACTTCATGTATATTGAACATTGAAAAATAAGACACACTGCGAAACCATACAGATATGCACTTTATCTCCTTATTGGGTTAAGTTGTAACAATTCCCATGTACTTTATAAATTGTATGCTGATAAATTATAAAATGACATTGTGCTTATTTATAAAACCAGTGTCATTCGACAAACAATTAATATCTAAAGATAAATAGAAAGAGAGAGAGAGTCCTAGTTAAAAGTTGTGTTACTCATCTCAACAGTAAACCAGAGAAAATCATCCATCAGCTTCCAAGGTATATAACACACAGTGATAACATCATTATGGGCATAGATCTGAGTAAACTTTCATTTGGTTTTTTTCTTTCAGTCATTTACTAATACACACCACAACAAATACTCATTTTATTTTATTTTTAAACTGATGTATCTTAGTCGGAATTGAATGTATAGAATATGACCGATATATATTATCATCTATAGGTTAGTCTATATAATTTTAAGTTACACTAACAATATAGAAGTTTTAAATCGTTCAATGTAGGGAAATGTGAAAGATTACTTTTAGGTTGTATATTTCCATCAATTACACACTATTCTTTCTGAATAATTTTCTTTTCCAAGTATTATGATTGATTCTAAGATGATTTGTTAAATAGTTTTTCCGACATTAGGAGACTATAGTTGGTTTGAGCATCAAATGTCTTCTGGGATTTTCAATATTCATAAGCTTTGTTATATTCATAGCTTCATTGAATGCACTGCGCTATCTAGATTGTAAATAAGTTGATGTAAAGCTACAGCTTGTCAAACTAATCTTAGTAATCTTATGTATCTTATCGGAATTATAGAGAGAGCCTTAGGGATCTTGGTAACAGTATGTACGATGTTAGAATTAATGATCAGATAGTATATTTATGTAGAATTAATCTCGTTATTTAATTAGTAAAGTGAGTTTAGATCACCAGTTCAAAAGTTTTGGTCATATTTTGTTTGTAAGGTCTCAGCGGCTTTTTATTGAGCACTTCTCTGATATCAGTATTGACCTGGAATAAGTGAAGCAGTGATAGGTTTATTGAATCATAGATGGTTATGTCAGCTTTGTATCTGTTGTCGGAAATTTCAAAAAGCACACCATTAGGTAGTTGAAAGTTGAATTATACATAATTTAAAATCGAAGCCAGTGATTATCGTGTTATGGTGTTTTTACGTCTATTAAATAAACGGTAAGGTGTCTTTCTCTGCGTTTTACTCTCATTCACAAGGTGTATATCGATAATTTTATTGTAACCATCATACTACGCTCCCTTTTCTGTTCCATGACATGTCATCACATTGTTTTGGGTAGTCATCTCATTTTAGTTGGATTTTACATTGACAAAATAAACTATCTGATATTACATTTATTTTCTCGTAGTTTCCTTTGATGTATTCTTCAACTTCTATGCAGGCATATCTATTCTTAGTTTTGTTCCGATTATTTTTCTGGTCACTTTTTGATTTTGTTACACTATTTATGAAGCATAAATGAAATATGTAGTGTTACTACATTGGTTCTCACAGACAAACTTGATGAGTATTTTCGGGATATACATCAATTGTCATTGTTCGGTGTTCCATCGGAGCCTCGATGTCTACACTGTTACTTTGAAGTATGCTGAAGTGCTTTATAAAAGCTATTGTGGTACGGAAATATTTGACAAAGAACAAGTATACTCCAAGTGGCCTTGTTTCTCTAAGGATATTAAAAGATATTAATTCATAAAATTGAGAAACTTTTGTTCTCAATTGATTACGTTGTAGTTTAAGCTTCTTGGCTGTAAGATGCTCGAGATACAAGAAATCGATCATTAAATATATACTTGGCTAACATGACTTAAAGTCAATGACAGTGATGGATATGCATCTGTTTTTTTTAAAATATTTTTCATTAGGAGGTATGTTAAGCTTATCCATTGTAAAGATAGTTACCATCCTAGACCAATGAGTACTGACTAACTGACAATCCTGTCAGCGATCAAACTTAAAATATTCAAGTCTCGTGGTAAACATGTTACTTATTGACTGTTGAATTGGTTAACTATTTAATAGTTTATGATTCCAAAATCAGCTATTTTTCATCAAAGCTTTGAACATGTTATCACTGCTCGAAATTTATTTGTTTCTAAGATATTTGATATTCTACTAATTCGTGGCCATTGTATTTTTCTCCATTTTTTTATCGACCATGATAGTTCGATGTGTGACAATGTTATTGTAGTCACGATATATATTTGTATTTTTCTTTATTTCCCTTGATTAATTTTATTTCTTTACTTTTTAAAAGATAAGGTGTTAATAATAGTCTTATGTGAATCCTTAGGTTCATATATGTAAACGGTCGTCTTCACTTAAATATTAGGAAATGTAATAAATTAGTATATGTTCCATTAATCATCGATTTTGTTTTTTTTCTTCATTCGCATTCCTTTTAAAACAATTTCAGCCTTATTACTGAACAAGGTCTATGGGTATTGTTCGATTTTTCAGCTTAAATCATGAATTGATGTTAGCTAAATACATAACCACGGAAAAATAAGGAGTAACCATTTCGTCATAGTACGGGACTCTTCAGTCGTGAATATCCACTAAACACTGGACTTCTAACCTTTAGGCACATCGATGAGCGCTTAATCCTTATTAGTGCTATCAATGTTGTAATAAGTAAAGAGGTGCACTTAATTATGTAATATATTTTCTGTAACTCAATTGGCTAGATTGTCAAGTTGTAACTTTATATAAATGTACAAGACCCCGCAGAAGTTGCTTTCAATTAATTCAAGGTTACAATACAGATTAGAATTGTGAAATCATACGTATACTATATGTTGTTCTATTAAACAAGTATGAAGAGTTTGTTTTTTTGAAAGAGATAATGTTAACTTCAATGAATTCTCAGCCAATCAGTCAGTAACAACGTAGAACTTCGTACGTACATACATCAGTTCCAGTTGCCATACCACATTAGCACAGAGATACAGTTGTCGATTCATATCCCATAGTGGTAGAGGTAGTAAAAGTATAAGCAGTAATCGGAAACATTAGGGTTTAAAGATATTATTCAAGGAGTATAATCTATTGAAATAAATTTGGAAAGAAAATAAAGGACATGAAGAATTCAGAAGGTTAGAATTTAGGAGAACACAAAGAGTGTATGCACCTGCGCCATTGCAAACGATTTTGAGCCATGTCATTCAGGGTCTCTAACCATCGGTTGCTATCATCTCGCGGTCCCCAACCAGGTAGTCTACACCTACTAACATGACTCAGTCCACTTGTCAATGACTTCATGGACTTGTACCATGTTTTGGTCTGGCCGCCTCAATGAATTCTAAAAGAGATCATCAGTTCTCATTTATTTTTTTTAGATGTTTGCAGATACATTTGAACTGAAAAATGAAAAAAAAATTGACTGAAATCTTGGTTTCATAACTTAAAGAGTGTATATATTTATATTGATAATGATAATGATGATGATGATATGGGGAATATTTAATCAATAAAATATAGTGTCATATGATCTAGAAACAGAAATATAAACAAAATGGGAAAGAAAACGTTGATTTTTAAAAGTCCCAATTAATTTAAATCTATATAGAAACGATTCATACTACTGCTATTGTTGTCGTGTTATTTTAAACAGATCCAGTAAATATTACAGAAACCATAAGAAAATTGGGTTTGTTTTATGCAAAGCTACAGACTATTACTAACCTTTTCTATGTACCAAATATTCTCTCTTTTTAAGGTGTATTTTATAAAAGTCTCTTTGACCCCCCTTGATCCATTAATTCACTTTAATGATCTTTAATTTGACATCTACATAAAATTTTGAAGCAAATATAAAAATAATTGGGAAAGTGTTAAATAATTTAACATTTCAGTTTTGATATGACTGGTGGCTGTTATATAGTGCCCTCAGTGTCGAGTCACCTAGACTGGTGGCCACATTGCAACATGATCGATAGCATTCGATCTGCACTAATAAGGACTAGACAAGCATGACATTGATCACCACCCAGTGATCAATCAATTGTGAATGTGTAAATGTATTTACACGGGTGAAAAAAATCATTCATGTCCTGCTTACCGTATTTTCACTGCTATTTTTTTCTAACATTGAATCACAATATAAGTTTCTGACATTTTGTGCCTTGACGTTTAACTCACTTAAATTTTCAAATCAGTATTTTCAGAATGGAGATTTGTGAAGATTGTAGTAACTTTAATAGTTAAATTTATGAATCGATCTAAGCTAGACTACCATTGAATATCTGAAAGCACTGGACGGCCGTCTCGTTCTAGTACGGGACTCCTCAACAGTGCTCATCTACGATCCCGCATGAGCGACGCAAACACTTAACTTCTAGACCACTGAGCTATCATCTAATAGTGTTAATATCTAACTTGAATCGATCCATAATCTTGCGCAACCCTTCGTCCATTGTCTGAGATGGATAACTGTCTCCACTCAACACAAAGGTAGTCTAGTTTAGATCGACTCATGAATTCAACTATAAAATTCAGTACCTACTAACTTTCTAAGTATAGGTTTATGTACTTGACTCATAACCATGGGGCTTTTGTAAGATGCAGTAAACTACTAAACTAATATAATCTAAAATACAATGTATTGTG